TAATACGGTATACTCTGGAAGGAACCGTTACTTTACAGAAAAATTAATCGCACCAAGCTAATCATATGTTATAATTTTAGTAGGTTAAATTTGGAAGAGAATAGCAGCGATATGATATTTATACATTTATTAATATACATGTATAGACTAAAACAAAGACTGATGTGTTGCCCAAAAACAGCGACAATTTAAAAATGTGGGTCGGGACTACAGGATTTTTCGGTAAAGGGTGGGAGTGGGGGGATGGGAGGTGGCGGCTACCAAAAAATGTCAGATGGTCTGGATCAACAACACCACCATGGGAGTATGCAGCTGGTAGCATAGTCTCCTAATGACGTGGGTGTGAGCATAGAGAAAATAATGTTCTATTTTCTCTATGGTGTGAGCTATTTCCAGATGCTTTAATCATAGAGAAAATGCAGTGTTGAGTTCAGACCAGTTTATTAGGCTTTATATGCAGTTGTGAAAAATACAATTTTACCTACAGTCACTTCATTTTGGGTGGTAAAATGATAACCACATAACTGAAACAAGGGTAGAAATATCAAATTTATTAATTAAATCATAAAAAAGTGAACTTTTTTAAGCACGATACTAGAATTTTAAGTTCTACTTGGTTAATTCATTTATCGAAAATTTTGGTCAGTCGGGTTTCGGCAACACAATGTCAGGGGTAGCGCCAGCGGGGGAGGGCTGCTCCCCCGTCACTGCTCCGCCGATCAGGGAGAAAAACCACAATTCGTCGGGGAGAAAAAAAAATGTAAAAAAAAGGTGTATTTTTTCTACATATTAGTAGACTCTAAAATCGATAAAATAAGCCTTCGAAACCCCTAAATTTTTATATTTTCCTTGCAACATTTTTTCGAGATTTTTAGCGACGCCCGACCACGCCTACATTTTTTTTTCATCGGGGACATCAGCCCTCTTCCCGTTGGGCAAATCCTGTCCCAATCACTCCACAATGTGTATATTAATAATGACTAAACATAATAATAATCTTCCACATAGCTCCATGGCCTCTAAATTCAAAGACCCACTACAGTTTGAAATCAAATTTTCAAATGATATTAAAATGCTTGTATGACATTCTACAATACAACAAAAACTGGAGATTCTTATATCCTTAATACTGGTAACCACTTTAGGCAGTGATGATTTTACGGTGCTGGACTGAAACGCTGAATTCTTCAATTCCAACACTTAAAACAGAAAGACTTTGTATACCAGTTAGTACTCTTCTCTGAATAATAAAACTAATAAAACTTTTCCTGACCAGCCAGGGGGATAAGTAGCTGGGCTGGGATTCCCATAGGGAGGAAGTCCCATAGGGAGGATTTACAGCCCAGGCCCCATCAAATGCTACCCGGCGCTCCACAAGGCTTTTGTATCGTATCTACCTCTTCCTCAACACATTTAATTGTTTATTCCATTTTTATTTGAATATCAAACATGCTTTTATTGCGTGGCATTTACAACACAATAACACACAAACACATTTAAATATACACCAATATAAATATTCTAACCCTTATTATTTCAACAATATATCTATTAATTGCTTCTCATATAAATACATTTTCGCAGCCCTCTTAAATCTCACAATCATCACCATTTAGATATATAAACGTTTAAATACTTCTTTTTCTCTCTTTTAATATTCTCTCTACTCTCATTCTTTTCTTACTCTGTTAGTCTGCCTCTCAATCACTCCAATTCTGTCCTCATCCGATCTAATGACATCTAACATCTTTTTACACCCCAATATTTCACACGTCTCTATTTGTCCCATATACCACATCTTATTCTAATTTTCCCTTGTTTCAATGTCAAATTCAAAATAGTTATCACAATAACTCCCTTTTCTGCATCCATCTCTCACTTAATTTCTCCATTTTTTCTTCCTCTCTTTTAATTTTTGTTATTTACTTTATTTTTATATTCCTTGTTATTATTAAATAGTTTTCAATGGATTTTCGGAAGCCCAACTTTCAACAGGTATATTCCTTGGTTTATCATCATTACTTTTCACCGGTTTTGACCTACATCTCTGCTTACCCCCCGTCAGTGAGATGGGGGTAACTGAACGTTGAAACTGCCTTTCTCTATCTAGCTTGCGTTCTTGCTGTTTGTTTTGGATCCAAGCATTTGTTTGTTTTGTCATCGATTGATTCAACCGTTTATTCTGCAAAAATGTTAAAAAAGAAAACTGATCGATTGAATTTATTCAGTGTTCACACCAAGGATAGCCCACAAAAGTCTAGAAGAAGATTTATTTCCAGTGGGGTCCTTCTGGTATGGTGGTGATTTGGCAGTACACAAGTAGACAATCCGCTTCTCTTTTCTGAAGAGTGTACTGCGTTCTTTAACGTGCACATGGGCCATAAATGCACACGGGACCAACGGCAACCAAAAGACGGTTTGCTATTGTATTTCAGCCCTCCAACTGAAACACAAGGAGAGGCAGCAATGGGAATTGAACTGGGGACCTAGTGATCTCCAATTAAGCGCACACACAGTGGCTACCACCAGATTAGCCGACTGAGCTAAGCTGCCCTCGATTAATTAATTATAATAAGAGGAATAATTTTTTTTTTAATCAATTATGATAAATGATAAATGAAGGAAGAATAAATATATGAATTAACAAGTGAATTAATAAATATATGAAAGAATAAATGAATAAATAAAGGAATGATAAAAAGTATTTAGTGAATGGATGAAAGATTGAGTAAGCAATAAGCTGGTGAGTTTTGAATATATAAATAAATGAATTAATGAAAAATAGTCAGCCAAAAATAGACAGACGTTTGGCACCTAAACAAATGAACAAGCGAATGATTATGTGGGTAAAAGAACAGTTGACGCGAGAGATTAATTAAATATGTAAATAATATTATATAGACAAATATGATTGGTAATATTCCATGTGAATAATTCACAACTAACCTGCTGTTTTACTTTTGTTGAATAAATGATAAATAGTGAACGAAGAAAAATAAATAATAAGGAATTAAAATAAATGGATAAAATGAAAGAATGCATACATGTAAAATTAAATTAAATAAAACAATAGACTTGTAGTCCTTTAAAGATAGTTTTAATGACAAGACACTAGCTTTCGTGCACACAGTGCACGTCTTATAGTAGGTGAATGTGATGAATGAAGGTATTAGTGTTTGAATAAAAGAAAGATTCAGCAAGCAAAAGTGTAACTGAGTGAATGAACAAAAAAAAAACAACAAATAAACAAGTGAATGAATGAATATATTGTCACCGTTTTCACGAAGAGACACAAACTCCAATTTCGACCAAAACAGCGTTTTGAGAAAAACATGTTTGAAGTGGACTTGTTTAAAGATAAAGATTAAACAACATTCAAATGTTCAATTTATTTTTTCTTTTCTTATCTCTAATTAACCTGTTAATAAGCTTGAACAGTTTGTGTCTCTGTGAAAACGATCACGATGTGAAATTTTAGGTTTGTGTCACTTCGTGGTGTCGGTGATGAATTAAGAGTAAATAGGTGAAAACGTTGAGAGACTAATTAAATTGGTGAATAAAACTCAGTCACAAGATTAATATGATTAGTGATTCATTAATATTCCATGTGAATTAATTCCCACCTACCTGCTGTTGCTGCTTGTGAAGTCTTTTTTGTAGTATTTCCCTGTCACTGTAGCTAATGGCTAGTTGTTTCTATTGTAAATTAAAGTTACAGAAAAAAAATATATTATATAATACCAAATCCTACAGGTTGTCAGTGGTGGAATCGGGGGGAGTGGGGTGGTGGCAGCTGGAGACAACATGAAAAAAAAAAAGAAAATATTCAATGTGCCATAATCATAATTGTTCTTACCTCAGCCTCAACCATGGGCTGAGGTGGGTGGATCCTCTATCTGTGTAAGTTCCTCCCTGGGCCCCCTCTATTTTTGAATTCCTGGATCCGCCACTGGAATTTGTGTAAATAAGCAAAATATTTTATTATAATAATAATTATAAATATTATTTATTTTAGCTGATACTTATAATTTATATCAAAGGTTATAACTATTATTTATCATAATAATACTACTGTAATTAGAATCAATTTATTGCACAAATAATATTTACAAAGGAGACAAACAAAGCCAGAACATAGACCAAAATATGCCACCGTACAAGTTGCTATAACATATGAAAAGAACAGTATTTATTAGTATTATTACTAATATTATGTTTTAGTTACATACCAGGGGGTCAAGGGTGATGTTATGTTTTAGATCACAATATTTGGTAACAGTGGCGGATCCAGAAATTCAAAACAGAATGGCCCAGGGAGAGACTTCCTCAAATAGAAGGTCCCTCATCCCCACCATGGTTGGGGCGGAGATGGCTGGCAATGGCATTCTCAGATAAAAATCTTAATATAATTTTGCTTTTTTTTCTCTCCATTTTTTAAAATAATTTCGAAAAATTTGAGGGGTAGGTTTGGGACGGTTGACCTCCTCTTACCCTTTGAATCCGCCACTGGTGAACTACTAAACAAAATAAGCTTTTCTTTGATAAGTTAAATAAAATTTTCAGTCAAATTAATGACCTCGAATTGGAAATAGATGACAGGGCTTCAAGATGTCCATTCCCCACAACCTCTTGCGGGCACTATCCCAGATATTTACCTTATGATGCTGGACATCTATAAATGATTCATTCGTCCTCATTTTCAATAATTTGTTTTCATCCTTCAGTCTCCTCATCTCTTCTTTCAGACATTTATTCTCTTCTACTAAACTCTGAGGATAAATTTGCATAAAAATGTAAGTCACCTGGTGGCCGTCAATCGCTAATTGCTAAATCCCTGCTACTGGAGGGCAGTATTCAAAATTCTCTCTGTCAATGAAACGTTGAACATCCCCCCCCCCACCCTCCTCCTCTGTTCAGTGAGACCACCCATCTGCGTTAAGCTTATAAATAATAGAAAATTAAAATATGATATTTGGATTTGTGTCAGTGTATATAAGTAAATTATTAGTTTTAAAACTAAAAAAAATGGAAATGAAAAATTATTTTGTTTATTCTGTATTAGGCGAGACTTTTTTTATTCCTTGTTTTGCATACAGTATTTTTTTAAAGATCATCAGAGGATGGCGGAATAAAAATAAAAATCAAATTTTGTTTTCTTATTTAGCAAATAGTTTTGCCAAAAAACATCCAGATAGAGGAGAAAATAAAAATAAAATTTTATTGGTGAATGTAAAATGGAAAGGTTAAATGCTTCAAATTTATATAATTAGGAAGAAATATACATATTTTACCTTTGGAGATTTCAAGGCAGCGGAAGAATAATAAAAATAAAGAAAAACTTTAATTGTTTATGAAATTTCCATTTTTTCATGGTGGCAGGTTCGCTAATTGGTCAAAAATAAAATTTTATTTTTATTCAAAATCATCGATATTTGACAGGTTCTCTTAACAAGATATAAAAAAAAGTCTTGCCTTATATACACTCAAATTGGCAAAGAATTTAAGAAATTTTAGATAAAAAGTGAGTAAAATTAGAGAGTTCCTGTTTCTTGAGCCGAAGATGGTTCACACCAGGTCCAGTGTCTGGTTTTAATTGGAATCTGAATGTTGGCTCCTTGAATAACCCCTATATTGAGAGGTAAGTTAAGAACAGTGTTTGTATCCGTATGTGTCTGTTATATATTGAAGAAGTGCGGTAGCGCTGCACTATGACGGCTTCAACAGGCCTCGCCAAAAATTTCCGATTTCCAATTAGAATGAGGACAAATAAAGAATAATTATTATTTTTTAAATATTTTGCTTGGTGTTTAATTGGATATTGATAACTTTAATGATTCTTTTAAATAAGCAATTTAATATTTTTTAACACAGTATATCTCAATAAAAATACTGGCAGTTCTTTTGAAAGCTATTTCTCCATACATAGTTAAAGGTACTTACCAAATATTTGACATCAATTTCTTTCGGCTGGATCATGATTGTGGTAGGTGTCTGAGCACGGTGAGGAGCGCTTTGAGGAAAAAAGGTAAAAAGCAAAAGTTAGATATAATAAAAATCTGTTAAAAATACTATTTTACTGAAGCACCGCAATGAACATGATTTTTAGCTAAGCACCACTCTCGAATAAATTTTGCTATGCTTAGAAGAAATGTATTCTTCAAAAATTATTTATTAAGCTCTGTCACTTATAAATATGAGATACGTGTTCTATTTTTGATATGTGTCTAGGTGCTTGGTAGAAATATATTCTTTAAAACATGTTTATTTAGCTTTGTCATTTATATATTAAATATGTTTTAATTTTAATACTAGGCATCAAGGTGCTTAATAGCAGGCCTAAGTATTATTTAACTTGCCTTTATAATGACATTTTGTATCATCTGCTATATTAAAGAACCAGTTAGGTACAAGATAGGGTGATGTTGGAAACACGACTTCAATAATTTGTAATGAGCACTCAAATAAGTGTTTGACCAAAGCCTCTAAATATAGTTATATGGGCCAGTGTTTTTTTTTAAATAATTCACAGAAAGCCTGAACATTCTTTCTCAACATTTTCCCTGATATTTTTGTCTGATACTTGAGTGTTGCCCTTTTATATTGATCATCAATTTAATTGCCTGTAATTTTTTGTGTTTATTTTTTATTGTTTATGGTTTTTTTTTTTTATCCTTTTGAAAATGTTTAGTGCGTGTCATTTTTGTGCTGATTTTTATTTTATATTTGATGTATTTTATTGTTTTAGTAAAACTTCTTGTTGCTTGGATGTGATTTTTTGAATTTTAATGGTATTTTGAAGTTCTCTTGAAGTGTAAGGTTTAATTTATTGGTGAAAATATTGTCTCTATTTTTTTAAATTTTTGTATGTAAATTTTCTCATAATTCAATTTATTTTGCAATGAGTGATAAAACCAGAAATGAAAATGAAGAAATGACATTTTTCTATTCTATTTCACAAATTGTAACATTATAAATTTTCCAAACTTACGAATGAGATGATTTGCTTGTTCCTTCTTCAAGCTTCATTTTCTCATAGAGTGTCTCGAAGTGGACAGCTGTGTCAAAGGTCATCTGCAGCTCCCTCTCAAGATCCTCGATCCTTTCTTGAGCTACGATACACGATAACAAAAAAATTTAAACCACTACAAAGTTAATTATGTAAATTTGTTAAAGATATACAGGACTATAATCACATAAATCTAAAATTTGTTTATTTTTATTTCTTTATTTGTTATACTGCACTCAATAATTCAATACAACATTTAATAGCTCATTAAATAAATTAAATATTTCAATTTACATATATATATATATATATATATATATATATATTAAATAAAACTATTCTTAATAGAATAGTGATATATAAAATTCTTCTATATTCTAAAGCCGGACACACACTGTGTGCGATGGTCAATAGCCTACGCGATTCTGTGCAAAACGCAACGTGACAACACGTGTGCAACGGATTGCTTTTAATGACGATCCGTTCAGAATGCCACCCACAATCTGCAGACAGGGTCGCGTATTCTAGCGCTTACAGCGAGTGGAGTTAGATTTGTCGTGCGACGGAGTGAGTGCCTGGCATAACATGTTAACATCTACAATCCAATGAAATAACAGTTCAAACCATACACCGAAAAAAAATAGATCTACCTGCTTTTATGCGCTTGTTAAATGCATGGGATAGTTTCTGGGAATGCTGTCTAGCAAGTTCAACATCTGTAGCCAGCCTAGAATTTGTTTCTTTTAACAGTCTTGAAGCTTCCTCATACTCTTCAACAACCATTGTGTCGATGGCATATTCTGGGCTACACATGGAGGGGCTATGGCTTCTGTTAAATACTGAACGTTTGCTGAGAATAGATTGAACGATAGAATCATGGTCATTTCGATTCCTTTTTAGCTTTTATCAGTACATATATATTTGTTTAATATTAATTGTAGATTACTTTTATTAAGCTTTCGATAAATCCAACGACAGATGGTACCTGTGAAAACTTGAAGATGACTTATGAAGTAGGGAAGAGACTCTTGTTTATTGCTGTACTCAAAATTTGAGAGTTTACAATTTACAATAAATTCCTAGCAGGTACATAGGCAGATCAACTGTATAATTTTCAACGTGACATCATAATATTTATTAGTTTTATCATCATTATCATTTTCTTCTCTTTCATACCATTATTAATTTAATCATGATGATTCCATTGCCATAAATGGCTTATTCTTATCAGTTAAAAAAAGTTTAGCAGGCCTATAAGTAAACTTTTATACAATTTAATATTAATTTACAGATAGATAAATTGTACCTTTTATTATTTTTCTGTTTATGAGTTGTTTTCTTGTTATCTACTGGTAATGGCTTTATTTCTGTTGTCTTCTTTGTTGGTGTCTCCCTGACAAAAATATGTAAAACCTTATATGTTTTGTTTATACAGTATTTGAAAAAGGCATCATTTGTATCAATGGTGCAGAAGCATATTGGTGAGAGATGAGGCAAAAGAATTTATAACAATGGCTGAAATTAAATTAAATTTAATAACATTTAATAATTATTTAATATATTTTCATCGCATATTCTCTGAAAGCATGCTCATCTCAAATATAATATAAAATTAAAATCTTATCTATTATATTAAAAGTGTTAAAAACCTTTTGTTGCTTTTCATGTCCATATTCGTGTTGACTTCATCCACTGCCATGTCACTCACTTTCAATTCCTGTTGAGATCCATCACCTTTCTCATCATTCATATCTTGTTTTTCCATTTTCTCTACACCTTCTTCTCCCACTTCTTCATCTGTGTCAATGTTTGTACTTGCAGTTCCTTTTCCCTCTGCATCAACATCGTCCTTTACAACCCTTAGTTCTCGTTCATTGATCTTCTGGCCAATAACTTCATGGTTTTCGCTCTCTTTTTCATTTTGTTTGTGTGCTTTGATGCTTTCACTTCCAGTCGGTGAATGGCTCTCCTTGTCTCTATAAAAATAAATGTTTCTGTTATATATTTTTTCCTATTTTATTTTTCACCATATTTAAGTATTGTCAAGACACTCCTATCCAGCGAAGCTGCTTGCATAAAATAAATTTTTTTTAAAAGAGGTGTGAAAGAAGAATTTTATATATGATTTTGTCTGCAAATATTTTGAAGATTTATTGTCCAAAATGTTTAGGTCTTGTTTAGATCAGCAATTTTCTTTTTTATATCTTAAGCACTGTCGAGACTATATCAAATTTTATCTGACAAAAAACTGTTATACTATGATGACCATATGTAGTCATATTGTGCCTATATATGATCATGAAGTGATGTCTCATGACCATATTTAGGCATATCCCATATTTTTGTCAGATAAAATTTGATAGTCTGGACATATGACCATAGACTTTTACATTTCAGGTGTCTGTCCTGGAGGATCCTGCTGCTGTAGGCCGCTGTCCGGCCCAAGGCTGCCTAGTCCAGGGCTATCCGGTGCAGGATTCTCCGGCTCAGGTATGTCCGACTGTAGGCTGGTTGACTGCGAGACATCTGGCTGTGGGCTGGTAGGCTGCATGCTAGCTGACTGAGTTTGTGCATCAACGGCTTCTTCTCCAGAATTATTGTCACTATCCATTTGCATTTGTCAAAACAATCTGAATGGGGAAATAATTTTTAGAAGGTTGCTTTATTTATGGTTATGCAGCTCCATACAGTATGTTTACAGTGGTGAAAGTACCACTTTGCATAGTAGACTCCAGTAATGGAAACTACTATGGGTAATTCTATAACGACTCATAACCAAGCCATTAAGAGCCCCAAAAATTATTGTGTTTAAAGGCATAGAAATACGCGGGTGATCCTCCGGGAGTAACTTAAGCAAGTACTCAACCACACAGATCCTGGATCTGTGGCTCAACAAATAGCCAGCTTATATAGTTTTAATCGTTTACCTTTATATTAATATAGTATACAATTGGTTTCGTAGATAAACTACATCATTTTAGAAGTCAATGTAGTAATAAAATTATATATACCTGCATGGATTATTATAGAGAAATAGTAAACAATTGTGAAGTCATGATCTAAGCCTCTACTCAAAAGCCTACCACCAACCATTCAGTTTACAGTTGCCATAGCTGCACAGCGACCTCAACGTATTATGATTACAAACAAGGCGTTGTCTGACAAAGTTTTCCAGTGTATTTTCGTAATTCATCATAAGTACAGTACTAGTTTATTCATTTGAAGTTCATTATTGTACTGTTTCATGTATATTTTTCATGTGGTTCCTGAAGAAGAGTGTAAGCTCGAATTGCTCGAATAAAGTGACTGCGTTTTGTTACATCCAAGCCTTCGAATATGTCTTCCGTTA